AAGAGTACTAGACGATAAGTCAGCCTACGCATCCGAACAAACTTGAATCATCGTCTCTAGTATAATCTGAGATGTTTCATTTTCTTCACTTTCGGCTTCGGCTTTGGCTGTGGGTTAGGTTTTTCTCACTCTTTCTCTCTTAAGGGGTAATGCCACTCTAGCGCTCGGAAAAATTTTTTGAGCGCTATTTTTGAGAATATTTTCTGGAAATATCGTAAGTGCGAGGAAAAATTCGTTTGTAAGGAATTTCTTATATACCATTTCAACAACATTCACAAATTTTTCTATTGCGTGTTGTAACGTCACAGCTTAGTAAAGAAAACTTTACATTGAAAACAAGTGTTTTGCTGTCGGACAGATTTCTCCACCAATTTTAGATTTAGAAAAATAATCTATAGGTATTTTCTCATCTTCAGTTTTACAAAAAATGATTATCTATCGAGGTGCGTAGGATTTTTTCATTATCTAGCAAACTTATTTTTTCATTTTGTCCGAAATTTTACGTCGAAAATGAGATATTTCAATTTTTATATTATCATAACATATGATTATAAATTGTGGTCATGCAATTGCTGTCCGGCAATTGAAAAAAAAAATGTAGTTTTGAAATATAAGCGTTTAAAGTTTCACATACTTTGGAATGGGCTGCATAGTAGGACTAAGTATAACTGAAATAGGCATTTCGGAACTTGTTACCTCCGTGAGGTGTTACTTCTTCTTTCATAGTGTTTCAATACCCTAAGGAAGATTTTAAGGGAAAAAAGAAAGTGTCGATATTGTGGCATTAGCCCTTAAAGGCGAGCAAACCAGGAAAAGAAAGTCCTATTTTATTGTTATTTATGACAGTTAACCGTCCGTAATGAGAGTGTTGCGCGAAAAACATGTTTCTTACGAAATGAGTTAGATGTAGTACAGAACGGTGTCATTGCTCGATAAATGTGAGGGAGAGAGAAAATGAGAGAGAAAGAGAGAGATACGCGCGAGGCAAAGCGTAACTCTCTTCTCTTGGAGGATAGAAAGACAGAAATGACGCAATTCCAAGAGGGGAGGCAGTCATAAGACTCTCTCATGCTTCTTCCTTCGCTTCATTTCGTTTCACTTCCCCCAACCCCGAGCTTTTCCCTTTTTCGTTTTACTTTGAAACCGACCCCCTACCCCTCTATTATATTCTCACTCTCCATCTCATGCTATTTCAAGACAAGAAGTTCGTAAGGACACACCGAATCGGGAGAGAGCTTACTATTCGTTTTCGAATTTCGGAAAGTCTTCAAAGATTCTTAACCGAATCTTTATTTTTAAATGTCTTCGTATTTCGCGGCTCCAATTTTCATTTCGCTAGTTTTTATTATAATTTTCAGAAATTCCCTCAGTGGCGGATTAAGGGATAAGGGGATTAAGCAGCCGCGTGAATTCTTCAAAATGTCTTTTCATTACGATTCGAGGAAACAAATCTTTTTTTAATAAATTTATTTAATGTGTCGTGGTATGTATGGTATAACCCCGCATGCAATTATTGCTACATTATACAATCTGCTGACTTAAATTGATTTAGTTTACTGTTTAATTATATTAACACTTACAGCCTGATTATCTCCTCATTGGTTAATCATTCTTTGTTGCTATCAAAATTGCTTTACATATAACAGGATATTTACATATCCTTTAAAAGTATAACTATTTAACTTCATTATTAAAACATTCTAACCACTATTTACATAAACCAACCACCAAACGCTTTCCTTCTTTTAAAAGCATTATTGAGCAACATAGTAGGCAGGTGGCTTAAATACTGGCGATTACCGCAGTATGAAATTTCCCATTGCTTTTATTTTCGTTAATAACTTAACGGGAGTTTTCTCGAAACTTTCTTTTTTAACTTATATTTGAAATTTTTACCGCTTGGGGCCCCCAGTTGACTTGATCCGCCACTGCATTGTCGAGAAACGTGTTAACTCGCCATGATTCTAATTCACCTCTTTTATATTTGTTAGTATTATTTCTTTTTTTTTCTCTTTTTTTTTCTCTTTTTTTGTTGTTGAGATAGATATTTATTTAAGAAGTATTTAAATATTAATGAATTATTTGCAAGAGCAATTTGTTAATGATCGAATGAATATAAGTATTGCTCCTATACGCATTGGATGGATCATCCAAACCGGGAACGAAGGATCATGAACAAAATCGAAGAGAGAGAAAAGAAATTTGGTTGTAATAGTGTTTAGGCTAGTAGAGCTGTGACATTGATGTGACATTGTTTACGGTTTAAAAGAATCGTCGTTGGGCTGTAGGACTCTAAATATAGGACGCTAAGTGAATCAGGCATCACGCGAGAGAAACGGTAGTCCAACCGTGTGTCTGATTTGCGAATCATTCGCAAATGATTCGCTGTCTTTCTCTTATTTCATGGATAAGCGATTCACATTAAAAGATTGCTTCTATCTTACAGAAAAGATCTGATCTAAAAATATTTAAATATTGTTAAAACTATCGATAATAATGAAATTAATCTTTAGAAGAAGAGGATATGTTCAATTTCATCAAATAACAAAGCATTAAATCGACTATAAATTAATACTACATATAATACAAATCTTAGAATACATTATTTTAACATATTTTAATGTAAATTTGATGAAACTAAACATACTCTCTTCTTCTAAACAATTCATAATCTCTCAATACAATTATTTCGATATATCAAGGTGTACCTCATAATATGATGATTATGAAAATGACCAAACAATAAGGAAAAAATAATAAACATTTAATCCAGTAAAAGTTACTCTACCAATGAGTTCGATAGTTGAAATGTTAACTAATTATAAGAAAAAAAAAATCAAATCGAATAGAAAGATACATTTATATTTGATATTTTGTATATTAGCGGGTACGCGTACCTCTCTCTCTCTCTCTCTCTCTCTCTCTCTCGTCGTAATCTACGAGAGGAGAGACCGCGTCTGGGTGCGATCAAGAGGTTTAGAAACAGAGAAGAAGATCTTTTAGTAAAGATAGTAAGAAGGAGGTGGGATAAAGAGAAGAAGATGAAGTGTGTTCGCCGTTTCTCGGGGGCGATTCCGTCGAACAGCTGTCCCGTCAACATTGAGGCGCCACCCGACGAAAATATGATTCTCTTATGGGAAACCTATGTATCCGTTGGCATTAGACCGTCTCGCGAGAACGCGTCGTCTCCACGAAAATCCAGAACGACTGGTAGACAGTTTTATTACCACGGAGGTGGTATCGCCGTCTCACCGCAACATCGCGACTAAACATTCAAAGACCTGCCGCCCGCCAACAGACAGACACGAAAAGAGAGACACGTTGGCCGTTTTTATAAATATTTCTGGTCGAAAAGCGTTCTCTTCGGAGAATTTTCAATTTATTGGTTTTACCTCAAAAGAAAGAACAATGATACAAATGTAATAATAACGCTAATTAACATCCATTCTTTTTTAAATTTCCGAAACGCCTATTTCAGGTATCCCCTTATCTAGTCCCATGCAATTACGTTCTTAGGGCATGTGAAACTTTCAACGCTTATATCTCAAAATTACATTTTTTTCAATTGCCACACAATTTCATGACCACAAATATGATCAATTCAATTAAAATTTATATTATACTATTACATTATCTATCGAAGTCCGTTGAATGTTTTTATTATCTAATAAACTTCTTTTTTTATGAACAATTTGGTCCAAAGTTTTACGTCGAAAATTAGATATTTCAATTTAATATAATATTTTTTAAATATCCTATGCTTGTCGAGAAATAATCTTTTGTAGAACTGACAAAGAGAAATATATAGTTTTTATCTAACAATAAGTAAAAAATTATGGCGAAATCTGTTCGACATGAAAACAACGCTAATTACGTTAATCTTTGCCAATAGTGATTTTTCAAACTATGCTGTTTACCGTAACTTCATAGGAAAAAAACACAAACTCCACATTTTATTGGACCATTAGAAAATAATAGAAATTATGAATTTCATGCTTAGGGGAGTTAATATTTAATGCAGGTGCGTTAGCATTGTATATCTATGAAATGTGATATGATAGAAAACAAACAAGTTTTTAGCAATTAAATTTATGAAGGATCACTATATTTAAAACAAATTACAAAAACACAAATTGAAATTTGTTAATAGGTAGTTCGTTTAAAAATAAGAAATGTCGAAAGATTAGAATTCTATCAGAAAGATTAGCGTTGACGTGTATCGCGAATGCGACGCAAATGGCCGATATTTGTCCACTTATAATCGTCAATGGAACGTAGGATCGTATCAATCGCATCGTTGGGAATGCCTATGACGTCAAACGATACATATCGTGTGTTCCTCCTTTGACCTGCTTCCTTGACCTGACAGAAAGAGAGAGAGAGAGAGAGAGAGAGAGAGAGAGGGAGGTTGAGCATGGCGCACGCGGTTCGGTTGCGCTTAAAAGGGCTAAAGGATAACGAAGGAGAAGAAAGTTTCCCTCTCTTCCGAGAAACTCGGCTTAATTTGCGATAGAGGAAGGAGGAGAATGGGCTTCCTTCTAAGAATCCTCGTTTGAATCGTTCTTCTAACCTATCTGACATCATTAATGTGAGTGCCGGTCGAACATGCCAACCGGGCGTTGAAATTCTTCATTGGGCTGCTCCTCCAGTTCCTACCTACGTGATCACTGTCACGTATACATCGATCCTCACTTAGGCAGATTCCTTTATCTTTTTCTTTTTATCCTAGAAAAAGGATAAAAAGGAAAAGATTCTGATCTGTATATTTTTGTTTTCGTCCCTTTTTAAAATGAGGATCACTTTGGCAAGAAAACATATTATGCGTTCTTGGTTACGGTCGATCGTTTATAGATGAACTCATCGTTAAAACAATTGTGCTTCGTTGAAACGATAAAAATTCCAAAACAATCAATATACGGAGGCTTCGTTCGCGTGTCTATCCGTATGAACCCAGCTTGATTAGCTTCTTGGAAAACGCGTAGCGTAGTTTAGCAAGATGAACCGGAACATCACGCGCACGCTGACCGAGTTGTACACGCGCCTATAGGCCCAACTAAAGCCACGTGCCTGCCGAACTATCGACAACGTATAATTCTCACGATACTTCCTTATTCATTATTATTACATTTAGTCATTATTCTTTCTTCTCGGGTAAAATCGATCGATTGAAAGGAGTCCTTTCCTTAATAAAACCCTTTTTCGAACTGAAATATTTATAAAATTGCCCACCGTCTCTCTCTCTCTCTTTCTCTCTCTCTCTCTCTCTCTCTCTCTCTCTCTCTCTCTTGGCGAGCGGCAGGTCTTTGAATGTTTAGTCGCCAGCTTACAATACGACGACGATGTCACCTCCGTGGTAATAAAACTGTCTGTGAGCCGTTCTAAATTTTCCTGCCAAACTATTGATAACATATTATTCTCACGATACTTCCTTATTCGTTACCCTTCTAAGCAAGTTTCAATTTTTGTTTTTGTAATTGGTTTTAAATATAGTGATCCTCCATAATTTGGGCTGCTAAAAACTTTTTTTTTCTCTATCATATCACATTTCATAGATATACAATGCCAACGCACCTGCATTAAATATTAACTCCCCTAAGCATGAAATTCATAATTTCTATTATTTTCGAACGATCTAATAAAATGTGGAGTGATGAGTTTAATGTATCAAAGCAACTGAGAACTAATACATATGTGGATTTACCTAAGGATAGGATATTTAAAAAATATTATATTAAATTGAAATATCTAATTTTCGACGTAAAACTTTGGACCAAATTGTTCATAAAAAAAGAAGTTTATTAGATAATAAAAACATTCAACGGACTTCGATAGATAATGTAATAGTATAATATAAATTTTAATTGAATTGATCATATTTGTGGTCATGAAATTGTGTGGCAATTGAAAAAAATGTAATTTTGAGGTATAAGTGTTTAAAGTTTCACATGCCCTAAGAATGTAATTGCATGGGACTAGATAAGGGGATACCTGAAATAGGTATTTCGAAACTTGTCACCTCTACGAAATTTGTTCTACCACATTTGAATACCAGAAAAAGATTATTGATTTTTCGAAAATCTAAATTACTCAAAAACTTAACATGCTAGCACATTTTAAAAGTCAGATTCGGATTGTACGTGGAAAACTACGTAACAATTGATATATAACACATCAACTGCATAATGGATGTTTTCTAGATTTATTAACGAAAATATTATCGTTTATCATTTATTTATAAATAAAATACATTTATCTATATACTTTCTCTACATCCCTAATTATTAGGATTTATGATTTTTTTTCGAAAGATACAAATTTGAAGAACAAGGAAAGGATCCTTCTTTCGTGAAAAATGTATACGCCACGTGGAGCAATTGACGTCATCAGCTTAGAGTATACATAAATAAACGCGTGTACGGAAACTGCGAAAAAAAAATTAATTTTACGTATTATAACCGTGACACGTTGCAATGTGGTACGTTCGAAGTCCATAGAACGGTACTATTAACAGAATTAATTTAATTAACAGAATTGTTTTAAAAGGACAGAAAAAATAGATAAACGAGCACTCATTGTTCGTGTTTATTTTATTTTCATTTGCACAATTTTTTAAGACAATTTAATATAATCCCTTTAAATCTATAGAAAAATTGTCTCTCTCAAGATAAGATACCCATCGCTTAGAAAACCTGAAATTGAAGAAACACATATTAGCCCAGTCAATAAATGGAAAATGATGCCCGTAGAGCTGCATTATATTTATTATCTTATATATATTTAGTATATAGTATATAGTACACTATAACCAGATATTTTGAAATGAAATCGACAAATATTTTTCTTATATTCACGAGATTAAATTTCAAACTCTTGTCTCTTCCAGGAAAGACGTGAAAACGAAAATTCGTTAAGGGTATGTCAAATGTCTACGCTATAGAGCCAAACTATCTTCTATGAAGCAGACTAAACTACATTGGCAATACACTTAAAAAGATTTTACGATGTTTTCACAAGTTTGAAGAACCATTAACTATCTTCTTCTTCAGTGGTCTCAGTTGCTAACATCGATTACGATCTCGGTAAGGTTTTTTATTATTCTTTTAGTATTACATTATACTGATTAGTAAATTAATATCATATATTTACAGTAATAGTTTATTTATTTATTTATTATTATTATTATTATTATAATATATGTATATTATTATACCAACGGCCGTAACTTGAATAATGACAATTATCCTAATTGTAAAAGAAAATAAATGTGTTAAATCATAAATTTGGAGAAGTTTCGTAGGTAATAGTTGTAGTATTAATACCGATATTCGGAGAAGAGATTTCATTTGTTTCCCATGCCAGACTAATAATTATCGCTATAATGGTTGAAAGGGTGACAATATGGTATAGAGACACGATTGAGTCTCCGAAAGTAGAAAGAGTTGGTCGGAGACGGCGCCAGGTTTATTTGAAGTTCAAAAACATGAAATTTAGGATGACGTGTTGTGATGTATACAAAATATATATATATATATACACCCACAACATATGTACGTATATAACCGGTTTACCTACATAAGCGCGTGATTTATATCTATGTACATGTATGTACAGTCATATAAGTATAATACCTGCATGTATATAAACACATACTCATAAAATAAACGCCGAAGGCAGTTTGATCGCGTGGACCGGATTCGCTTACTATTTGACTTGAATTTACGTGTATTTATTCACATTTTACAGTCAAAGACGCCGGCGCCTCAAAGATTGAAGATGACCGGGAGCAGACGATACTGATGACGACGACGACGACGACGACGACGACGACGACTAAGTACGACCGACAAACCCCCCTCAAGACTAATAATAATAATAGAAAGAAAACGAGAAGAGTTGAAAAAGAAGAAAGAAGAGAAAAAGAAAAATCATTAAAAAAGAAGATACGAAAGAAAGAAAGAAAAAGAGGGAGAAACTGAATATATGAATGAACATTTCAATGCATATATTTAAATTTGCTTTAAATTCTTATCTCTCTGTCTCTCTCTCTCTCTTTCCTTTTTATCTTTGCAAGTTTTATCATTAAATTACCTATTTCTTCTTTTCCGTTTTTTATATTTTCCTAGTCTAGATTCATACGTTTTTTCGGTATACAACCAACGATAAGAATAACCGCTCTACCTGTACTAGCATAATCGTTTATTTTTAGGTTTAAACAAGAGTAAATTATTAATCATTTCTAAACTAGAAATATAAATATCTATGTAGTAATAAATAATAATTAATGATTATCTTAATGAAAAGTAAGATGACAGATATAAAGAAATTCATTTAAATGACATCTATTCCTGATTCGATAAACTCTTAAGAGTTCATTTGTCTTACGGACCGACTGTCGATAAGTGACGAACTTTACTTTCAAATAAATATAAATAATTAATTAATTATTTTTTAGGAAATTTATTATTATAGGAAATCTGAATTAGTAATATAGAATAATAATAAATATTGCTTCGAATAATGCTCAAAGAAATAAGAATTGTTTTTAATATATCTTTCATTATAAATATATAAAATATATATATATATATATATATGTCATATAGCTTTATCTAGATCTATATTGGTATATAAAAGGCTATATAAATGTGACTGAATATGAGGTCAATAATGCAACAATTTCTTTATAACAATAATCTATTCACAACAATGATATGATAAAAGTAGTATAATCCATAGATAACAATTTTGTTCGGGAAACAGTATACAATTTCGGATTACATATATAACAACATGATGACTTTTACACAAAAAGCACGCGAACACTCCAAGTCGATTATTCTCATTTTTATTATTTCTTTTTCATTTCTCTTGCGGGGAACTAATATAATTTCTTATATATATATATATATATTCGTTTACGTATTCGTGCAAATGGTGTATTCACGTTTATACACATTACTAAACTATTAGGCTCAGCTATAGATCGTGAGAATTTTATTTATATTCATTATTTCATAATTATATTCTATAACACGATTATCTCTTTTTCACTTTATTTTTCTTTATGTTTTGTATGTGTGTATGTGTTTTTTTCTTTTATTTTTTTAATATATCTTTTTCTTTCATTTCTTTTCTCTTCGACACATTTTATACGCATAAATATATAATAAATAAATATTAATCATTCTTTCTTATAGATATTCTATAAAATCAATCATACAGTGATCACGTACAAGACAAAAATGCACTCCTTTATTTCCGTTATTAATAATTAATCATCACCTGCCGAATATGATTACGATGAGATCGACGAAATGTTTTTGCAACAAAAAAAAAAGATTTAAAGAACTTCGGTAACTACTTACATGCATGTATGTGCATATATGTACAAGTTTACATAATATTATGATAACAAAAAAATAGAGATACAGTTTTTGTTTTTCACAATAGAAATGTTACTTTCATTAGCAATTAATTAATTTAATTAATTGCTTGATTGATTGGTTCATTTTTACGCATACAGTACGTATATACTTTTTTAATTTTCTAATTGGTCAAAACGTATGTCTCTCGGATTATTTAAATGTTAAACGTGACAATTATCAATGGTTTTTTTAATAAAATTTAAAAAGTCGATTGTGTATCGGTTATTTCTTTTCTTTTTTTTTTTTCAAACGACGAAGCCTAGCTTAAGCATTACAATTATTTTTGTTTGTTGATCGTCAAATTGCATTTGTTAAATTAAAAATGATCATTACATACATATATTCTAAATGTTTTAAAATTTTAGCGACAATTCTATTTTTCTCTCGAAATGTTCGTTCTAACAACCATGTTTATATTCGTATCAAAATGTTTACTATGTATATTTATGTAATTTCCTGTTTTTTATCTATTCTTTTTTTATCTTACTTATCTGTAAGAACTTTCGCAACTCTTACAGACTTTCTTGATATGCAAAGATTGTTCGTACGAGTGATAGAGAAATTAGATGGATGATATATATGAGCCACTCATTCGCCTAATCGATAAACTCCACAAAACAAAAATTAGAGAAAATTGATGAAGTAATAATGTCGAATCGTTTATTATCGGACGATTATAAAAATTGTTTTCATTTAATAGTGTTAAGCTTAATTATTAAGGAAATTAATTATAAACATAAGAAGTTAAGTATTAATGGGGTGATTTAAAAATAAAATTTGAAAAAATTTAAAAAGTGGAATTAATTGATTTGGTCTATGAACGATTCATATAGTGATCGAGTTAATTATAAGATTCTATGATTTCAGACAGATCGATACAATTTAAACAAAACAAAAAAAAAGAAAAGAAATAGAATATTCTTTTTAATTAATAAAATGTGAATCTTTTTATATGTCATTTACTATAAGATGAAATTAGAAAAATGTAATATATAGCACCATACTTTACTCACTATACTTTATATTCGTGTTTCATTCATGTAAATTCATAACAGAGATAGTATATAGTTATTAATAAGATTGCACGTCTAATTAAACAATCAGAAGAAGAGAAGGAAAAACACAAAATTGCATTAACGAACTTTAAAAAGAATCATATTAAAAAAAAAAAGAAAAGAAAAGGAATCAATCCATTTATCTTTTATATACTGTATATATATATATATATACGTATATATACATACACATACACACATAAGGAATCATTTCATCATTTCTACTGATCGAGTATATCTACTATTACTACGTATGATGGCGGGAAGTAGGGCCGGGGTAGTTGATTGCAAAACACATTGTAAGATTTTTATGCAATGAAAACAAAATCACGATTTGCTTATATGATACTATATATATATATATATATATATAGTATTATATCGAAGCTCGAAGGAAAGTGGTGCCTGCCACTTACAATTGGAATCTCCATACTTACAAAAAAAGAAGGAAAAAAAGAAACACTGGATTTATGTATACCCTTAGTTTGCAGATGATGCATTATTTTTATGCATTGCTTAAACGCATTCTCTCTCTCTCTCTCTCTCTCTCTCTCTCACACATTCTTAATACATAACTTCCTGTTTGTTCGTTTTTTTGTATTATTATTATTTCGAAACGAGAAATTAATTTAAAACTAAACACGAACGCAGGTACGTTAGAGAGTTAATCTTGTATCGTATTATATTACAACGATACAGATTGATCACAAAAAAAGAAACAGAAATAATCAATAATAATAGAAATATGACGGTAATAATGTTCTTAATGTCAACATCTCTTCGTTATTTAAATTGTACGAAGTTTGTTATGGAAAATAGAGCATAACGAGTATAATTATATATTTAAGAAAATTATAATTAATAATAATAATATAATAATAATAATAATAATAACAATAATAGTAGTATTCGCTTCTTCCCATTTAGTTCTTCTAGAACAGTTCAATTCGATAATGGTCTTTTCATGTATGATTGCATAAATATATAACATGATAGCTAGAAAAAGTATATACAGATAACCCTCGAAAAACACGGTACTTGAAGAACACGAGTTTCGAAGAACACGGATACCCTCCCTTATTGTTTTTACCGAGGGTAGGTTGCTAGTCTCACCCTCGAAAATATAAATTATATATATATATATATATATATATGATT